TAGGGTCAAGGTAGGTTTACTTGGTAGTGTTTAGGCTAGGGTCAAGGTAGGTTTACTTGGTAGGGTTTAGGGTCAAGGTAGGTTTACTTGGTAGGGTTTAGGCTCGGGTCAAGGTAGGTTTACTTGGTAGGGTTTAGGGTCAAGGTAGGTTTACTTGGTAGGGTTTAGGCTAGGGTCAAGGTAGGTTTACTTGGTAGGGTTTAGGGTCAAGGTAGGTTTACTTGGTAGTGTTTAGGCTAGGGTGGCATGTTGGTACCCTGTGCGACTCTGCAAGCATTTTATTTTACAGTCACCCATGGTATTCTCCTTGCTTTTTCCTCAACCCCATTTAGGAAAATAACTCATTTTCATTAAAAGTCACGCAGCGTATCCTGGACACTAGCTTCCCTGTGATTTACTGTTTCCTCCTTTAGTGTTGTTTTTACTGGTGAGCTGCTAGAATGGCAGTCTCTCTAACTCTCTTTTCACACTGAGGATTCGGTTTCCTGAGAGAACAGTGGAGTCCAGAGACACAGGCTAGGTTTTTACGAACACTGACAGATTGGAGAAGGTGACTGTTGTCACAAAGTGCTTTACAGTAACCTGGCGTAGACCCCAAAGAGCAAGCAGGAGCACAGAGGAGAGGACAAACTATCAGGAAGACTGTGTTAACTGACTCTCTCTCTCTCTCTCTCTCTCTCTCTCTCTCTCACTCTGTCTCCTCTTCTTCTCCTCTCTCTCTCATCACCTCTCTCTCTCTCTTCTCCTCTCTCTCTTCCTCTCCACTCTCTCTCTCTCTGCCTCTGCTCCTCTCTCTCCGCCCCTTCTCCCTCCTCGCCTCCTCTCTCTTCTTCTCCCTCTCTCTCTCTTTTCTCTCTTCCCTCTCTCTCTTCTCTTCTCTCTTCTCTCTCTCTCTCTCCTTCTCGCGTCTCGCTCTCTCTCTCTCCTCGCTCTCTTCTCTCCTCCCTCTCTCTCTCTCCTCCTCTCTCTCCTCTGTGTCTCTTCTCTGCTGTCTCTGTCTCTCTCTCTCTCATTCTCTCATCTGACAGTTGGCGTGGAGGTGTGATCTTGGGAGTGGCACTATGGCTTCGTCATGACAACCAGACCAGCAGTCTTCTCATGCAGCAGTTTGAAGGCCAGCAGGCTCCAAGCACCTTCTATATCAGTAAGTATCGACAAACCATTTCAATATTGTTGTTGTTTTCGACATCTCTGTGTGAACCCTGGGGTGTGTTGGGTTGTGTGTGTCCATCCAGGTCCTGCAGAGTTCATGTCTACAGAATTATTTCCCCCATCACTTTCTTCTCTCTCAGCCTCTTCTACCTCAGCCCCATAATGTACACATTAACATATACATGGTAAATATACATGGTAAATATACATGGTAAATATACATGGTAATATACATGGTAAATATACATGGTAAATATACATGGTAAATATACATGGTAAATATACATGGTAATATACATGGTAAATATACATGGTAAATATACATGGTAAATATACAGTACATGGTAAATATACATGGTCTGAACGTTTTCAAAGGTCTGTGTGTAGGCTTCGGCCATTTTGTTTGTTGTGGTAGCAAAATGTACACTGTACACCCATTAATTAGAACTTGTGCTTCTCCACTCCCGTACGTACCGCAGCTAAGTATACAGAGAGGATAAAACTATTTTTATATCAGAGGACAGGCCAACCAACCCAGCAGGGCTCACTGATGATTGGAGGGGTACGGCGGCAGGGTAGGCCCACCCAAAGGAACATCAAGAGAGGTTTTTCGTCTCTCCTACCCCTCAAACACACGCCCTTGCATAATTCAAATAACCTTGTACATCTGGGCTTGTTATAAATTAGAGTTGAGAGTGGATGTTTTTAGTCTGCCTGGCACACCAAACTGGTGTTTATATAGGGCTGGGAATATATAAATATACACCCACTCCTGGGCTCCCCTCCTACCAGACCAGCTGAAGTAGTTAGCTATTGCTGTTCTCAGACTCTGTGTCTTGGGGAAGTCATCTGTAATTGTTCTCTGTCTTCTGAAGGTGGACTATGTAGTTGATTCTGTCTCGACTAGTGGGTGGAGAGGGTTGAAGTAGTGCCACTGATGATTAAAGCCTTGTTGTTGACCTGCTATATGTAGTTTAAAGAAGCTGAATATTTGATTGGCAGAATAATTTGAATGTGGGGTTATAGTTATCAACTAGTAACAAAACTGTGAAGAGGGAAGTTCGGTCATTCATATGTGTGAAGAGAGAGCAGTAGTGGTTGAAAGAGTCCACAATGAAAGCATTTTATCTTGCTCCTGGTTTACCAATAAGTTGTTAATGGTATAAAAAATAGCTTTCATATCCTTCTGTTAGTATTTTACACAACATGCATGGTCTCCCGCTCCCTCTCTCAGCAGGGTGTGTGTGTGTGTGTGTGTGTGTGTGTGCGTGTGTGTGTGTGTGTGTGTGTGTGTGTGTGTGTGTGTGTGTGTGTGTGTGTGTGTGTGTGTGTGTGTGTGTGTGTGAGTGTGTGGGAGGGAGGGAGAGAGAGAGAAAGAAACAGCAAGAGAGAGCTGGAGATGGAGAGGGAGAATGAGAATTAGATAGATAGTCGGAGAGAGAGAGATGGGGTGAGAGAGAGATAGAGAGAGAGATATGGGGAGAGGGAGAGATATAGAGAGAGAGATAGATGAGATGAGGAGAGGCTAGAAGAGAAGGAGAGATAGACCCCGCTCGCCCTCGTCGCGCTCTCTACTGCCTCGTCTTTTCTCTCTCGCGTCGGTCGTCGCTTGCACTCTCCTGCTATCTGTCGCCCTTACACCTGCCCACAAAATGAGGTGAAACTGAGCTCCATTTCCCAAACTCCTGCCAAATGTTTGACCATATTAGAGACACATATTTCCCACAGATTACACAGACCCACAAAGAATTTGAAAACAAATCAAACACTGATAAACTCTCATATCCGTCAGGTGAAATACCGCAGTGTGCAGTCACAGCAGCAAGATTTGTGGCCCATTGCCATGAGAAAAGGGCAACCAGTGGAGCACAAACAACATTGTAATAAAATATAGTGTTTTATATTATATATATATATACTTATATTTATCTCTTTATTTATCTTCCCTGTCATACTACTTGAAATGTCTATATTCTTTTAAAACTTTGGTGAAATGTTCACTAATGTTTCTTTGTTTATTTCCCTTTTGTTTATTGTCTATTCCACTTGCTTTGGCAACATAAACATATGTTTCCCATGCCAATAAAGCCTTTGAATTTAATTGAAACTGAGAGAGAGACAGAGAGAGAGGGGGTGAGAGAGGGGTGAGAGAGTGCGTAGAGATAGGAAAGAGGCGGCGCACGTAGAGCACGTGCTGCTCTCTAGTCCATCTCTCCCTCTCATCGCTCTCTCTCTTCTCTCTCTCTCTCGCTCGCTCTCGCGCTCTCGCTCTCCTCTCTCCCTTGTCCTTTACTCTCGCCATCTCGCTCCGCCCGCTGCGCTCTCTCGCGCTCTCTCTCTCTACTCTCTTCTCTCTCTCCTCTCCTCTCGTCTCTCTCTCTCTCTCTCTCTCGCTCTCTCCTTCCTCTCTCTCTCTCGCCCCCCCCTCATCCCAAATCTTCCCCCCCTCAATTTCCCCCCGGTCCCTCAATACAAACACCACCCTAAGAACAAAAAAGAACAGCACATTAGAAATCAGCTAGATGTGATGAGGAATCCATAGAATCAAACCCCTTCTGGGAGAATTGGAATAAATTAAACAAACCTCATAGTGAGGAATTGGCTTTCCAAAATGGGGATATGTGGAGAAAAGGAAATCACTTTGCAAACCTCTACAGCAATATAACAAAGAGCCCAGAACAACAAGATATACAAGAAAAATTACAAATCCTTGAATCAGCAGTCAAAGACTATTAGAATCCTGTGGATACCCCAATTACAGAACAAGAATTATTGGAAAAAACTTTGCACTCTCCAACCCAAAAAGGCCTGTGGTGCTGATGGTATTTTAAATGAAATGATCAAATATACAGACCACAAATTCAAATTGGCTATACTCAAACTCTTCAACATTATCCTAACTGCAGGTATTTTCCCCGATATTTGGAACCAAGGATTGATCACACCAATTTATAAAAATTGAGACAAATTTGACCCAAATAATTACAGAGGAATTTGCGTTAACAGCAATTTGGGGGAAATTCTCTGCAGTATCATAAACAGCAGACTACATAATTTCCTTGATGAACACAACGTCCTAAGCAGAAGCCAGATTGGATTTGTAAAAAATTATCGTACAACAGACCACATTTACACCCAAATCAAAACAAAGGCAAAATCTACTCGTGTTTTGTAGTCTTCAAGAAAGCATTTGATTCAATTTGGCATGAAGGTCTTTTTTACAAACTAATAGAAAGTGGTATTGGAGGGAAAACATATGATGTTATTAAATCAATGTACACTAAAAACAAATGTGCGATTAAAATCGGCAACAAGCAAACAGACTTCTTCTCTCAGGGACGTGGAGTGAAACAGGGCTGCCCAATAAGTCCAACACTATTTAACATCTACATTAACGAATTGGCAAAAACATTAGAAGAATCGGCAGCACCTGGTCTCACCCTACACAACACTGAAATCAAGTGTCTGCTGTACGCAGATGACCTGGTGCTACTGTCTCCCACTAAGGAGGGGTTACAGCAGCATCTAGATCATCTGCACAGATTCTGTCAGACCTGGGCCCTGACCGTTAATCTAGAAAAAACGAATATAATGATATTCCAAAAAAGGTCAGGAAATCAGGATGACAAATATAAATTATATTTGGACACAGTTCTATTAGAACACACCAAAAATTACACATATCTAGGACTAAATATCAGCAACACAGGTAGCTTTCACATGGCTGTGAATGAGCTGAGAGACAAAGCAAGAAGAGCATTCTATGCCATTAAAAGGAATATTAAAATTGAAATTCCAATTAGAATCTGGCTCAACATTTTCCAATCAGTTATAGAACCAATTGCTCTATATGGCAGCGAAGTATGGGGTCCGCTCTCTAATACTGAATTTACCAAATGGGACAAACATCCAATCGAAATACTGCATACAGAGTTTTGCAAGACTGTATTGCAAGTGCAAAGAAAAACTCAAAATAACGCATGTAGAGCAGAATTGGGCCAATACCCCCTCCTTATTCGAATAGAAAAAAGAGCCATCAAATTTTACAACCATCTAAAAACAAGTGACCCCAAAACATTCCATCACACAGCTCTACTATGTCAAGAGATGAAACAAGAGAAGAGTCCCCTCTAACCAAAAGAGAGAAAGAAAGGGAGAGAGGGAGAGAGAAAGAAAGGGAGAGAGGGAGCAAGGGAGAGAGAGAGAGAGAGAGGGAGAGAGAAAGAAAGGGAGAGAGGGAGAGAGGGAGAGAGAGGGAGGGAGAGAGAAAGAAAGTGAGAGAGGGAGAGAGAGAGAGAGAGAGAGAGAGAGAGAGAGAGAGAGAGAGAGAGAGAGAGAGAGAGAGAGAGAGAGAGAGAGAGAGAGAGAGAGAGAGAAATAGAGAACTCACTGGGACTGTGTCTGCCTCTTTAGACTGCTCTGTCAGGGTGGATTAGAAGTTGCCTCTGTGTGTGTGTGTGTGTGTGTGTGTGTGTTACACAAGAATAGTAAACCAAGAAAAATATGACCAACTGGGGACATTTTGTTGGTCCCCACAAGGTCAAATGCTATTTCTAAGGGGTTTAGGGTTAAGGTTAGAATTAGGGTTAGGGTTAGGGTTAGGAGATAGGGTTAGGGTTAGGGGTTAGGGTTAGGGTTAAGGTTAGGTTTTTGGGTTAAGGTTAGGGTTAGGGTTAGGGTTAGGGTTAGGATGGATCTGGGAAGTTGATGTCTTCCTGTGCCAGTAACAGGATGTTAGGGTTAGGGTTAGGGTTAGGGTTAGGGTTAGGGTTAGGGTTAGGAGATAGGGTTAGGGTTAGGGGTTAGGGTTAGGGTTAAGGTTAGGTTTTTGGGTTAAGGTTAGGGTTAGGGTTAGGGTTAGGAGATAGGGTTAGGGTTAGGGGTTAGGGTTAGGGTTAAGGTTAGGTTTTTGGGTTAAGGTTAGGGTTAGGGTTAGGGTTAGGGTTAGGGTCAGGATGGATCTGGGAAGTTGATGTCTTCCTGTGCTAGTAACAGGATGTTTGGGTTAGGGTTAGGGTTAAGGTTAGGGTTAGGGTTAAGGTTAAGGTTAAGGTTAGGGTTAGGGTTAGGGTTAGGGTTAGGGTTAGGGTTAGGGTTAGGTTAGGGTTAGGGTTAGGGTTAGGGTTAGGGTTAGGGTTAGGATGGATCTGGGAAGTTGATGTCTTCCTGTGCTAGTAACAGGATGTTTGGGTTAGGGTTAGGGTTAGGGTTAGGGTTAGGGTTAGGGTTAGGGTTAGGGTTAGGGTTAGGGTTAGGGTTAGGGTTAGGGTTAGGGTCAGGATGGATCTGGGAAGTTGATGTCTTCCTGTGTCAGTAACAGGATGTTAGGGTTAGGGTCAGGATGGATCTGGGAAGTTGATGTCTTCCTGTCAGTAACAGGATGTTTGTCTCACATGTCATAACACTGGGACAGCAACGCCATCAGGAAAAGACCAAGAACTCTATTACAATTTCTGTGGAGGTTGACTACCATCTGCTGGTGTCTCACATACAGTTTCCATATCTCACAAACTTGTCTAAACTCTCCTCCTCTCCTCTCCTCTCCTCTCCTCTCCTCTCCTCTCCTCTCCTCTCCTCTCCTCTCCTCTCCTCTCCTCTCCTCTCCTCTCCTCTCCTCTCCTCTCCTCTCCTCTCCTCTCCTCTCCTCTAGGTGTGTACATCCTGATAGCTGTGGGAGCTGTGATGATGTTTGTAGGGTTCCTTGGTTGCTACGGGGCCATCCAGGAATCTCAGTGTCTCCTGGGCACGGTGAGTGAGTGACCACTAGAGGGCAGCAGGACACACTTCACATCTGTCACGGCATTCCTCTAAAGCCCTATTCACACGGGGCTCGTATTACTAAAGAACGTTGGTTATGTAATTTTTACCTCCAGAATGTCTGTTATTCCAGAGGACGATTCGGATGGGTTTCGTTTATTCCAAACTGTAATTATTTCCTTTTTTTGTTTGTAATTTTTCTAGGCGTGAAGATATTTCAATGAATCCAGGCGATAACGATAACAGGGCTACACCGATAACTCCAGCTTTGGTTGTCAAGTTTCTAAACCATACCAAACCATCTTTGGTATAGTGTCGCCATAATATTTGAATCGAGGAAGTGTGATCATAATCATTAGGATATTTTTGCGATCCGCAGTACATCCTAAATGCCCGCCAGCCTTCAGATGTGAGCTAAACAGTGCACTTGCGCTTGAGATGCGTTTTAAAGCCATGGATGAGAAATGTAACTAATCATTTCTAAACGTTTAGGTCAGTTGTATGCTGCTTTGCGATCTATTAACAGCAAGGGTTGCATTAAATATGCGCAGTATTTTTTTATGGTGCATTTGGCAATATTCAATTCATTTGCACAAAACGTTAAAAAAACATTAACATTAACCCCTAAGGTCGATATCCGCACCCTCGCAGAAATCTAATTAGCAAAATAATAAAATATCTGCCTATGTCGCACTTCCGCATCTGCAGAGCTAGAGCGGTGTTTGTCAGACCATGACACATTCCAAGAATCGGTCACAAAATCGTCTGTAGCGTCCGAACGGTTTGGCCTAAAAAAAACTATTATCAGATGAGACTCACGAACACAATGGCGTTCTCCGTTTTGCTCTACGACCCCCCAGAGGCGTCTTGGGACTCGTCTGAAGTCGGTACAGCCGACTTCTGTCTGAAGCGTCTAAACAGCTACACACTAGTAATATTGGCCCCTCTGTGGAAAGATGTACACTACCAGTTAAAATGTTGGACACACCTACTAATTCAAGGGTTTTTCTTAATTTTTTTAAACAATTTTTTACATTGTAGAATAATAGTGAAGACATCAACACTATGAAATAACACATATGGAAGCATATAGTAACCAAAAAAGTCTTAAACAAATCAAAGGCCATCAAGGCAAAGCGTGGCTATTTGAAGAATCTCAAATATAAAATATATTTTGATTTGTTTAACACTTATTTGGTTACTACATGATTCCATATGTGTTGTTTCATCGTTTTGATGTCTTCACTATTATTCTACAATGTAGAAAATAGTAAAAATAAAGAAAAACCCTGGAATGAGCAGGTGTTCTAAAACTTTTGACCGGTAGTGTATATATAATGTTTCCTAATCTTTCTTATATCTCTCAGACAGACACTTCAGAACAAACTTTCTTTAGATTTTTGGGGGGGACTATCTGTTGTTCCAATCTGTGGGCTAATAAAATAAAATGTTTCATCAAATCATTTTTTATATATATATATTTGATCATTCAAGGGGTCTTAAAATTCAAAATCAAATAGAAAAATGATCCTTGGTATGACCTGAAAACAATTCCATGTAGCTTAGTAGAACCCAATCTCAGGCCAGCTATACTGTCTCGCAATTGAGCCGTTGCTTTGTTTACTACGAGCGAAGCTTACTGGTTTCTCCATGCCAGGGATGACACAGAATCCAGGGACAGCTTTGTCTGCGTACGCAGATGATGTGACAGTGTTCATTACAGTGAGCGAGGACGTTCAGGTTCTCTCAAGTGCATGAGAAGGCCTCTTCGCCTAGGATGAATTGGGCCAAAAGTGAAACTCTGTGGGCAGGGGGTTACAATGGGGTGAGGGGCTCAGAGGAGTTTCAGAAAAAGAACTGGGAGGGTGTAGTGGAGGAGGTGTGTGCCAGACTGTCTCGGTGGAAATGGTTGCTGCCCCAGCCGGCCTACATTTACATTTACGTCATTTAGCAGACGCTCTTATCCAGAGCGACTTACATTATTATTTTTTATTTTCATACTGGCCCCCCCATGTGAATCGAACCCACAACCCTGGCGTTGCAAACGCCATGCTCTACCAACTGAGCTACCTCCCTGCCATGCCATTCCCACGCCTACCCTGGACGACGCTGGGCCAATTGCGCGCCGCCCCCCATTGGTCTCCCGGTTGCAGCTGGCTACAGCAGAGCCTGGATTCGAACCAGGATCTCTAGTGGCACAGCTAGCACTGCGATGCAGTGCCTTAGACCACTGCGCCACTCGGGAGATGCCTATAGGGGAAGGGTTCTGGGTAGCCAACAACCTGACCTCCTCCACCCTGTGGCACAGACTGATAGTGTTACGGCCACCAGGAGGTCTGATACAGGAGCTTTCTACTGGTCAGGACAGCACTGATACAGGAGCTTTCTACTGGTCAGGACAGCACTGATACAGGAGCTTTCTACTGGTCAGGACAGCACTGATACAGGAGCTTTCTACTGGTCAGGACAGCACTGATACAGGAGCTTTCTACTGGTCAGGACAGCACTGGATTCGAGCTGCGGCCTTGTACCTGCCACTGCAAGAAGGTGGGCAGGGCCTATTGGACATTGCCTCAAGGGTCACGGCTTTCCGTCTGCCTGCAGCCCAGAGACTGTTATAACACGATGGTCTCAGCTGGATGGATACAGACTGCTGAGGAGGGCGGGTCGGCTGGGCCTGGACAAGCAGCTGTTCCTCTTGAGACTGGAAGGGGGTTGATTTGACTGGCCTCACTCCTTCCAACAGTCTGTCCTGCAAGCTTGTCAAGTGCTTGCAGGACAAGCCAGCCTGTGTTCAATCCTGCTAGGGGGGCTGGATGTACAAAGTTGGGGCACATGATGCAGAGCATGAGTAGTGGTGAAGCTGGAAGAGAGGGTGGGTCATCCGGCCTGCTGAAGCAGGTGGTAACAGAGGTCCGGTCATCCGGCCTGCTGAAGCAGGTGGTAACAGAGGTCCGGTCATCCGGCCTGCTGAAGCAGGTGGTAACAGAGGTCTCCGAATCCTTCCAGCAACTTATCGGGCATTTGTGTCCAACAACACACACGCTGACCAGTAGGAGGGCCAAGATTACGTTATCCCTACTGTGAATGTCATCGCTGCTGCTGAGAGGGGGTGCAGGAGGGTGAGGGGATGCTGCTGTCTTTCAAGACCCCAGAACTGGGGGAGTTCATGGCAGTGGGAAGAAAGGCGATGTACACGACATGTGTAAAGGTGTCGCGTGCGTCCTCCCTGGCAGGGGTGAGATCAACGAGGTGGGCCGGTTTGTTTGGACCAATCGCTGCCAATTGATAAATGGACAGCTGACCCCCAATGGAGGATAATACATGGAGCCATAGCCACCAACAGGCATCTGGTCCACCTGGATCCTAGTGTTGGGGAGGGGTGTCCGTTCTGTGTCTGGTCCACCTGGATCCTAGTGTTGGGGAGGGGTGTCCGTTCTGTGCCTGAATCTGAGTTGCTAGCTCATCTTTTTATCCAATGTCCCAGACTGGTGGGGATGTTTACACTGTTAACCAGCTGGTTTTCTGCCTTGGGGAAGTATTGGGGCTGTTTACACTGTTAACCAGCTGATTTTCTGCCTTGGGGAAGTATTGGGGCTGTTTACACTGTTTACCAGCTGGTTCTCTGCCTTGGGGATGTATTGGGGCTGTTAACATTGTTAACCAGCTGGTTCTCTGCCTTGGGGAATTATTGGAGCTGTTTACACTGTTAACCAGCTGGTTCTCTGCCTTGGGGAAGTATTGGGGCTGTTTACACTGTTTACCAGCTGGTTCTCTGCCTTGGGGATGTATTGGGGCTGTTAACATTGTTAACCAGCTGGTTCTCTGCCTTGGGGAATTATTGGAGCTGTTTACACTGTTAGCCAGCTGGTTCTCTGCCTTGGGGAAGTATTGGGGCTGTTTACATTGTTAACCAGCTGGTTCTCTGCCTTGGGGGAGGTCTTGGGGCTGTTTACACTGTTAACCAGCTGGTTCTCTGCCTTGGGGAAGTATTGGGGCTGTTTACATTGTTAACCAGATGGTTATCTGCCTTGGGGGAGGTCTTGGGGCTGTTCACATTGTTAACCAGCTGGTTTCTCCCTTGGCGGAGGTTATGGGGCTGTTTACAATGTTAACTAGCTGGTTCTCTGCCTTGGGGGCGGTCTTGGGGCTGTTTACATTGTTAACCAGCTGGTTCTCTGCCTTGGGGGCGGTCTTGGGGCTGTTTACAAGTAAAGCCCTGAGATTACATGTATATCCAATTAGAAAAGGTTTACAAATTAACCTTTATGTTTCTTTCTCTTTCAGTTCTTTTTCATGTTGATATGCCTGTTCGCCTGTGAGGTGGCTGCTGGGATCTGGGGATTCAGCAACCGAGACACAGTAAGACACCCACCCACCCACACAACCCCCCCCCCCCCCCCCCCCACCCCCCCACCCATCCCACCAACTCACACAGGGTACCAACATACACCCCACCCCACCCCCACCCCACACCCACACAAACACACTCCCCCTGCCCCCCCACCCCATACACACACACACAGACCCCCCCCCCCCCACACACACACAGAGACATTGTACAAACCCCTAACTAACGTCTGCTGTTCCAGATCTCCAAGGAGATGATTAACTTCTATGATGCAGCGTACATCAAGTCAGTGGACGTCGTAGACTCTCCCACCAAAACAGCTGCTATCAAAGTCCTGGAGGTGTTCCACGAGACGGTACGTCGTCACCCTCACCATTATCATATAAGTCTGTTAAATTGTTATAGTATCATGTTATCTTACAACGGTAGCTATTCTTGTTGAAAAATGTCTCTGTTATTGCTGAGGGAAAGAGATGCACAGCTGATCACAGTGTTATTTCAGTGTTCGTTATGTTTGTTACAATACCTCTATATGATGTATTCTCCTCAATGTGATAGTTTGTTGTGTGATCGTTCAGTAGCACCTACGGGAGAGGGGGGGGGGGGAATACCAATCAATCGACTAATCAATCAAGCAATGGCATGACTGACCGGTTGTCTCTACCTGTGTTTTCGTCAGCTGGACTGCTGTGGTAAAGGAGATGACTCCCCCTTATTCGTACAAGTAGCCGGAGCCCTGTGTCCCAAGAAGACCCTGGAAGATGCCCTGTTGAAACCTTCGGTACAGTACACCACACGGTGGCGGTCGGTGCCGTTTAAAATGGAGGACAATTATGTTTTTTAATGAGCATGGCCTTATTTCTATTACAGCATATTGGATGACTGTCATTCATATTCCATCCACCCAGCTCAATGTAACGTTGGTAGGTTTAGGCTACTACATGATACTAAAATGTTCCCTATACCCATCATGAGGTTGCTACAACCTAGCCTATGAATGAAAGTTTACAACTTAGGTGCACAGGTCAAGAGACATTTGAGTAATCAAGGTGACAGACAGTGACACATTCAATACCGCCTTGCACACTCTTGCTTGCATCTAGCTGATCTAGGGTGTAATCATTAGTCCAAACAATTGCAAACGAGAGTTTCTATTGGACAAATTCAGGTATGTTTATTCCCATTTCATTCCGGTTTCTTCCGTTTAAGAAACGTTTTAAAACAGAATTGTCAGAATGAATACACCCCTGATCGCAAACACAGTCACTTTCATAGTAGCCACATACAAACAGCATGATCACTTGCTCGTTGTATAATTCCTTCTCACATCCACACGCTCGCCTCCCCTCACCTTTTCCCTTCACTTGTGGACAGCAGTGCACAACACAACAGCTGTCTGTGACCAAGCGAAAAAACCTTTTCAAGCCAAACCTTCATACCATAACCGCTAACCGCTACACACAGCCTTCATCGTTATCACCATATTAGCTAACGTTAGTAAACCTGCTACAATCATGCAGTACAGTTTAGCAAACAGTTTAGCAGTTACACCGGCGTGCCCCTGTGGCAATACATTTATAAAACCAAAAGCTTACTTTGACTTGGAAGAGTTCCAGTGTTGGATAGCCTCTCTGTTTGAGCCGGGTGTTTGAGTAGGCTAAACTATCCAGTTGCATTCACTTAGCTAAGTAAGTGAAAGAGAAAAAAAATACAACAAAATATCTCTCTCGCTGTTGTTCCAAACTGTTCAACTATTGTCTTTCTCTCTCTTTGAGTCAATTACTCACCACATTTTAGCTAGCTAGCAGTAGCTTATGCTTTCAGTACTAGATTCATTCTCTGATCCTTTGATTGGGTGGACAACATGTCAGTTCATGCTGCAAGAGCTCTGATAGGTTGGAGGACGTCGTCCGGAAGTTGTCATAGTTACTGTGTAAGTCTATGGAAGGGGGTGAGAACCGTGAGCCTCCTAGGTTTTGTATTGAAGTCAGTGTACCTATAGGAGGACGTAAACTAGCTGTACTCCGGCTACACCATGTTGCAGGGTGTTTTAATCAATTATTTAGTGACGTGAATATATTTAGTATAGTTTTGTCTAAAAAGGATAACTTTTTAAAAATGTTTTTAATATAAAAAAAAAATGTAATTCACTGAGGAGGATGGTCCTCCCCTTCCTCCTCTGAGAAGCCTCTACTGCAGTACACATCCATGTAAAATCACATGTAAAATCACATGACAAAATCACATGTTTTTACCTGGGATTTTATTCATATTTTCTTTTTGTGTGTGTAATTCTTACCCCCCCCTTTTTCTCCCCAATTTCGTGATAACAATCTTGTAATAATATGCCATTTAGCAGACGCTTTTATCCAAAGCGACTTACAGTCATGCATGCATAAATGTTTTGTATATGGGTGGTCCCAGGGATCGAACCCACTACCTTGGTGTTACAAGCGCCGTGCTCTACCAGCTGAGCTACAGAGGTCTCATCGCTGCAACTCCACAATGGGCTCGGGAGAGGCAAAGGTCGAGTCATGTATCCTCCGAAACATGACCTGCCAAACCGCTCTTCTTAACACCCGCCCGCTTAACCTGGGAAGCCAGCCGCACCAACGTGTCGGAGGAAACACCGTTCAACTGACGACCGAAGTCAGCCTGCAGGCGCCCAGCCCGCCACAAGGAGTCGCTAGAGCGCGATGAGCCAAGTGAAGGCCCCCCGGCCAAACCCTCCCCTAACCCAGATGACGCTGGGCCAATTGTGCGCCGCCCTATGGGACTCCCCAATCACGGCTGGTTGTGACACAGCCTGGGATCGAACCCCAGGCTGTAGTGACGACGCAACACTGCGACGCAGTGCCTCAGACCGCTGCGCCACTCTGGAGTTTTTTTAAAGGGCAATAAGATAATATAACTTCACATGAGTCAAACAGGTGGTTTTCGGACACGTGTAAAGTTTCACATACATTTTTCACATGACTCAGACGTGGTTTCATATAATAAATTCCACGTTTTGCTTTTGTAACTGGAGAGATTAGAATCCGGATCTCCCACGGGAGAAGCCGACGTCTTGACCATTAGACCAAGAGGGCCAAAGCTAACTTTTGAAGTCGCAAGCGGGGCTACCTCGTCACGTGACCATGAGCAACCGCGATCGACTCATTCATCGTGTGACCATGAGCAACCGCGATCGACTCATTCATCATGTGACCATGAGCAACCATGACCGACTCATTCATCATGTGACCATGAGCAACCATGACCGACTCATGTCCTCTGGACTTTCACATGTGTATTTTCACATTTTAATGTCAACTTGGCAGGTAGCTTAGGGGTTAAGAGCGTTGTGCCAGTAACCGAAAGTTCGCTGGTTCTAATCCCCGAGCTGATTAGGTGAAAAATCTGTCGATGTGCCCTTGAGCAAGGCACTTAACCCTAATTGCTCCTGTAAGTCGCTCTGGATAACAGCGTCTGCTAATTGACTAAAATGTAAATGTCAACTCAGGCTGTCAAACGATTACATTTTTTAATTGAGTTTATCGCAGGATTTGCTGTGATTAATCAGGATTAATCGCAAATTCATAATTTGCTCAAATTGAGCTGTAATTTAAGATTCTTTATACGAAAATGCCTTACAAGAATATTGACGTCTTGATTTTGTCCAAAGCAACGGTTAGCAAATCAGGTAAATTGACAAACACACTTTCTTTAAGCTCAAAGTCAGCTTGTTTTGACATTGCATTGTTGTTTTTAGCTGTATAGATGATGTATTTTGGATGTTTTCAGTGTATTAACTTGAGTTAACGGATTACCTCTGACAGCGCTAATTTTAACATGTTAACGATGATAAATAAGGAGGCACGGAGCGCTAGTTTCTCTGTTCTTTTCACTGGGCTTCGTCCAACGGTCACTGACCAACGTATGAAGAAGAGAGGCGTGTGCCTGCAGCAGTAACATGACGAATGGATGGCTCAGAAATAATACGTTATTATTTTTAACACACTTTTGATAGGCTCAGGTAGGCTAAGTTACCTTTCCAGAGAATGGCATTACAGAATTTGCAATTCCATATGTGGAAACATTGCTATTACAATATGTCAACACCACCTTTTTACATGTGAGGAGAATAACATTATTTCACCACCATGTGAGTTTTTCACTTGGAGTTTTCTTACACGTGAAACTGCAAATTAGGATTTTATTTTGTGATGATTTTCACATGTGAACTTGAAATTCCACATGTGAATGTGACACTTTCACAAGAGAAAGTGTTTCACATGTGAAACTGCATATCAGATTTTCACGTGAAAGTTTTTAAAATGTGAATCAGCAAATTTCACATGTGCAACTGCAATTACACATCTAAAGTGAAAACATGTTTTTTTTTCTCATGTGAAAAGGTGGTGTTAGCATGTGAATTCTACATTTAATTTAAGCTCAACATGTGCAAACAGTTATTTCAAATGTGGAAATGTGATTTCACATGTGAAACTGCAAATTTGACATTTGTATTTTTTTTGTAAGGGTCAATGTCCAGTGGACTCAATGTTTTGATTTTCTGTAAAATAAAATATTGGTACTGGCCCAAAAACCATGACTTCCCTAGTAGGGAACAATAATCATTATTACTGTCAATCTCTATGTGTTGAATGAATGTTTTACACAGCAGGGTAGTATGCAGGAGGGAAAACAGCGGTTTGAATGAGGGTCCTGACTCCCCCCACTCTGTGTTCCCTTCCCACTAGAGCTGTCATCTGAAGCTAAACGATCTGTTCTCTGAGAAGCTCTACCTGATTGGTCTAGCTGCCCTGGTGGTCGCTGTCATCATGGTGAGTAGCGTTACCACGGAGACGCTCCTGGACAGCAGTCGGATTTTCCTTTCTTTTGATGTTGATTAATTAAAGGTTGAATAAATGTCTTTTTTTTTTTTTCACTCTAGATCTTTGAGATGATCTTCACCATGGTTCTCTGCTGTGGGATCCGCAATGCCACCCCAGTGTACTAGAACCACAGAACCCTACTAGAACAACGGACCCATAGAACCACAGAACCACAATGGAGGGGCTCAAAGGTACAAATCCTCTACAGATCAAAGTAAACGAAGAGGATTGAAAACGTTACATTTTGTGTTGTAGTTCCTGCTACTTCTTATCATGTTGCAGAAGTATGTACATTTCTATCAGTATTATAAATAGAGACTAGATTGTATTACAGTATTTTCTATGTTTTAACAATACTTCTAATAAGCATTTCGCTACACTCGCAATAACATCTGCTAAATATGGATATGCGACCAATATAATTTTATTTGACGGTTTGAGCCTGTCGATAATCTTCGATGACAGTCAGGCGGTGACCAACAGACATTCAGCATCTCTCTAATGCTAAACCTTTTACTTTCTTTTTTCTTTGAGCCTTTTGTATGTTTTCGTGAAGTACTTCTCCAAGGTTTTGTATGTTTTCGTGAAGTACTTCTCCAAGGTTTTGTATGTTTTCGTGAAGTACTTCTCCAAGGTTTTGTATGTTTTCGTGAAGTACTTCTCCAAGGTTTTGTATGTTTTCGTGAAGTACTTCTCCAAGGTTTTGTATGTTTTCGTGAAGTACTTCTCCAAGGTTTTTGTATGTTTTCGTGAAGTACTTCTCCAAGGTTTTGTATGTTTTCGTGAAGTACTTCTCCAAGGTTTTGTATGTTTTCGTGAAGTACTTCTCCAAGGTTTTTGTATGTTTTCGTGAAGTACTTCTCCAAGGTTTTGTATGTTTTCGTGAAGTACTTCTCCAAGGTTTTGTATGTTTTCGTGATGTACTACTCCAAGGTTTTGTATGTTTTCGTGAAGTACTTCTCCAAGGTTTTGTATGTTTTCGTGAAGTACTTCTCCAAGGTTTGAAGAGTTCAGTGCTCTTTTTTTTATGGTGTGTAAACTGCACACAATCATTTAGGCTGCGTCCCAAATGGCACCCAGTTCCCTTTATAGTGCACTACTTTAGACCAAGGTCCATAGGGCTTTAGTAAGCAGTAGTGCACTACATTTGGGAATAGGGTGCCATTTGGGACTAACCCACAGATAGCTTGACGAACAGTGCTTTAGTTGGGACGGTGCTCGCTGGTACAGAGCCAGAGTACCAACTCCTCACATTTCCTACAGCTCGAGCACAGTCACCGCGCCACGTGTTATAGAATATTAGCTTTAAAATATATGTCCCGGAACAGAAGCTTTTCTTGTTCCACTTCAAGCGCTGCCTGCCTACGAACCACTAATAAAAAATAGCACCCTATTTCCTACATAGTGCACTGCTTTTGACCCATAGTTCTATAGGTCCTGGTCAAAAGTAGTGCACTATGTAGGGAATAGGGTGCCATTTTCGGACGCAGACGCTGTATCTGTCCTTCCCTCCTCCGAGATAGTGGAGCTTAACAGTGACGTTATATATGGATCTAATTCATAATGAACCACAAATTAAATTGTGAAAATGTACACTTCTAATAAAAAACCTTTTCTCTTTCTCTCTGTGTATTTGTTGTGGTTTGAAGTTTGTCATTTCACTCTTGACCATCAGAGGGCAGAGTAATATTGATGATGAGCACACGTTTAATTACATTTCCATTTCTACCTTTGGGATCAGATTAATGAGTAAAGATCATTTAAAGTAATGTGTCTAATTAAGCAATAAGGCCTGAGGGGGGGTGGTATATGGCAAATATACCACGGCTAAGGGCTGTTCTTAGACGCGATGCAACGCGGGTTGCCTGGATACAGCCCTTAGCCGTGGTATATTGGCCATATACCACAAACCCCTGAGGTGCCTTATTGCTATTACTGGTTACCAACGTAATTAGAACAGTAAATTATCATTTTTTTGTCATACCAGTCGTATATTGGCTGATATACCACAGCTTTCATCCAACCAGCATTCAGGGCTCAAACCACCCAGTTTATAATATTCGACATACCACGTATTTTAGAACAATTTCCAAGTACAACCAACTTGAGTACCAAGTGTGTCACCTTAGTAATGTCATTTCTTAATCACATACTCGATTTATCTCTCCGACTTGAACACAATAAGCATCACCTACTTCCCATTGTTGGTACCCACCTCTATTCTCAAGAAACCTCAATAGGACAGTCTGCCCAAACATCAGAAAGTACTGCTAGTCCCAAACCTTTTGGAAAGTGTACCAACACACACACACACACACCTCTACCACACACTATCGCTGTGTCAGCCATTCCACCCCACCTTCTTCCCCTCACCCTCCTCCCCTCACCCTCCTCCCCTCACCCTCCACCCCCAACTTCCTCCCCTCACCCTCCTCCCCTCACCCTTCTTCCCCTCACCCTCCACCCCCCACCCCCACCCTCCTCCCCTAACCCTCCACCCCTCCCCCTCCTCCCCTCACCCTCCACCCCCACCTTCTTCCCTCACCCTCCACCCTCCACCCCTCACCCTCCCCCCCTCACCCTCCACCCCACCTTCCTCCCCTCACCCTCCACCCCTCACCCTCCTCCCCTCACCCTTCAACCCCTCACCCTTCAAACCCCTCACCCTCCACCCCTCACCTTCAACCCCTCACCCTCCACCCCTCACCCTCACCCTCCTCCCCTCACCCTACACCCCTCACCCTCCACCCCCACCTTCAACCCCTCACCCACCACCCCTCACCTCCACCCCTCACTTCCACCCATCACTCTCCACCCCTCACCCTCCTCCCCTCACCCTCCACCCTCCACCCCTCACCCTCCTCCTCTCACCTTCCACCCTCACCCTCCACCCCCTCACCTTCTCAATCTAAACGCGAGTGGGACGGGTGTGGCTTCGTGACAATGATCACAAGAGCAGCTGCTCACCGATTTGACAGCTGCAACGCAGTTACGCCTCCGACACTGCCAAAAACATCAGCAAGTGGGTGTCGGCTATCGCTTGATCTGATTGAATCCAGGCCTTTTTCTATCTGTGAGAGAACTCATTTAAACTGAAATGAACGCGTTGCGACACATTTAAATTGAAATAAAAGTTATTTCTCTCTCACTATCTCTGTCAGTGTGAGCAGGATGTGGTATGTATTACAAAACATTAAACATGACATGAAACTCCTGTCCTGGTGTGATATCAGATGTGCTAATCAGATTTATTTCAAATGATCTGTCTCTTTGTACAGCATTCTTGTCTCAACGTCAAACACAGACACAGACACACAGACACACACACAGACAGACACAGACACACACACAGACAGACACAGACACACACACACAGACACACAGACACACAGACACAGACACACACAGACACACAGACACACAGACACAGACACACACAGACACACAGACACAGACACACACACACAGACACACAGACACACAGACACACACACACAGACACACACACACACAGACACACACACAGACACACACACACAGACACACACACAGACACACACACAGACACACACACAGACACAGACAAACGCAGTGGTGGAAAAAGTACCCAATTTTACTTGAGTAAAAGTAAAGATGCCTTAATAGAGAAATAACTCAAGTAAAAGTGAAAGTCATCCAGTAAAATACTACTTGAATAAAAGTCTAAAAGTATTTGGTTTTAAATATACTTCAGTATCAAAAGTACATTTAATTGCTAAATAGCCTTAAGTATCAAATGTAAAAATAAAAGTATAAATCATTTAAAATTCCTTACATTAAGCAAACCAGAAGGCACCATTTTCTTGTTTATTTTATTTTACGGATAGCCAGGGACACACTCCGACACTCAGACATCATTTACAAATGAAGCGTTTGTGTTTAGTGAGTCTGTCAGATCAGAGGCAGTAGGGATGACCTGGGATGTTCTCTTGATAAGTGTGAATTGGACCATCTTCCTGTCCTGCTAAGCGTTCAAAATGTAACTAGTACTTTTGGGTGTCAGGGAAAATTATTTTCTTAAAGAATGTAGTGAAGTAAATAGTAAAGTACAGATACCACCATAAATCTACTTAAGTAGTACTTTCAAGTATTTTTACTTAAGTACTTTACACCACTGCACACACACACACACACACACACACACGAACACCCGCACACACACACGCTTTCTTTCTCTCACTCTCTTTATCTCTCTCTCGCTCTGTCAAACACACGCACACAAACACACTCCCTAATTTCTCTCTCTCCCTCTCTCTCCCTCAATTTCTCTCCATTTTCTCACTCTCTCACACTGGTGTCATTCTGGTGCATACGGTGGAGACAGGGCCTGAGAAGTAAACTCTTTCTCCATACCAAAGCCAAGCTAGTTGTGAGGGCGGTGACTATTAGGAATCCTCTATAAACATTTCATCACTTTTTTTGGGGGGGGGGTTCCACTAAATAAGATCACTCTCTCACTACGGCAACATCTACAGAGAACCTTACCTGAGACGTACCCGTCCTGTTCCCTATCCACTAGGACTTAATGCCGATGGTGAGTAAAGACAGTTTGACTGCTATTAGCTAGAGGCTGCTGTTCGGGAACAGGTGCTTGATAACGGGGTTTTGTTACTATGAATTTATTTACAGATAAAATATTGGAATGTTTAAGAATTTTCAGCAGCATCATTAGACTGTTCCTAGTCCTAGTGGGGTTTGACGAGTGCTATTATTGCTGATTGACACACAATGATTGGACACTGTATTAGGTAATGGACAGTGGCCATGGCGACTTTAAGTGTGTTATTAGGGATACAAGGGGTCAGTGTAGGGTTGGTTATGTCAGGGCATTTGGGAGACAGGTGTATTACACTAGATTACATCCTGCTCCCTAGACCTGTCTGTTAAACTAGATTACATCCTGCTCCCTAGACCTGTCTGTTAAACTAGATTACATCCTGCTCCCTAGACCTGTCTGTTAAAACTAGGTTACATCCTGCTCCCTAGACCTGTCTGTTAAACTAGGTTACAGCCCTGCTCCCTAGACCTGCTCTGGACAAAGGAGATCTAATCTGTCTTTAGGAATAGGGACCTTGACTACCTCTGATCCTTAGGGAATGGTTGATCACTACCCTCCTTTGACATACACTGGTCCAAAAATACACGTTGATCCATTTGAACACATTGAGATGACAAGATACAAGATACTGGTCCTAACAGGTAGCTTAGTGGTTAAGAGCGTTGTGCCAGTAACCGAAAGGTGAGCCAACTAGGTGAAAAATATGTTGATGTGCCCTTGAGCAAGGCACTTAACCCTAATTGCTCCTGTAAGTCGCTCTGGATAAGAGCGTCTGCTAAATGACTAAAATGTAAATGTAGTGATAGCCAGATCATTTCTGTATACTGCGTAGTGATAGCCAGATCATTTCTGTATACTGCGTAGTGATAGCCAGATTATTTCTGTATACTGCGTAGTGATAGCCAGATCATTTATGTATACTGCGTAGTGATAGCCAGATCATTTATGTATACTGCGTAGTGATAGCCAGATCATTTATGTATACTGCGTAGTGATAGCCAGATCATTTCTGTATACTGCGTAGTGATAGCCAGATCATTTCTGTATACTGCGTAGTGATAGCCAGATCATTTATGTATACTAAAAGCAACGTATTTGCTCTACGGGAAAATATGTTAAAAGGTGCTGATCACACCACCTACAGCACTGTTGCACATTGATCACACAGCCTG